CCAACTCCAATTACATAAGTAGGTAGATATTTCTTTAGTTATTACATAAGTAAGTAGATAAAGTGGCACACGGGTAGCGTGTGCCAAGGCGTCATCATCTGATTGGTTGATAGTGAGGAGCCATGCTCACTTATGGACCAATCAGGGCACGCTTGACCTCCGTCTTGGTCGGACCACGGACTTCGGGAAGTTGGTATGTGCCTTTCTTCAACTCCGTCGCGACGGTAAGCTGGGTCTGCTTCACGGTAGCGTCGCTGATGAGGGTCCTCCAAGGTTCGTCACTCTTCGACCCTACCCACGTGTCCTTGGGCGTCACTAACGATTGGAGGTCGAGACGAACGCGTGCCAGAGCCACCATGGACAGCCGGTTGGCCGGCTTAGCGGTAGGGACCAGAGCCTCCGTCGTCTCCAGGAGGGCGCGAATGCTTGGGTTGCCGTAGGCGTCGATCTGCACGGGTTCCAGTGCATTAGCGATCGTGGCCTTGTATCGTTCCGGATCCTTGTCTTCGAGGGAGGTGAGAGCGTCGGCTAGAGGTCCATCGTAGTGCAGCGTCTTCTTATTGTCTCGGCCGGGCTGGCCGCCCATCCAGAACATCAACGGGCACTTATCGAGGAGCGTGAGAAAGGCATAGAAGCCCCAAGTCTCAATGCACAAGCTCATGAAGGCGACTCGGGCTTGAACAGCTCGCATCTTTTCCTTCCGGCGGTTATTCTGCGCCGTCTACGACGCCAAAGGCGCGTACAGAGCCCACTCCCAAAAGGCACGCCGATGCATCATCTAGAAACGCCAATGGGCACGATACACAGCGCGGAAACGGATAGGATTGTACCATTGAGGTCGTCCGGTCCACGGGTAGGCGATACACCAAGGCTTCTTTCCCGCTGCTTCGGCCTTGGCGAGGATCGAGTAAACGGCAGCCTTCACGGAGTCTGGTGCGTCGGGATTCAAGTCGATCAACGCCTTATACTCCGCGGACGGAACGAGTGGAGATGGTGACGGAGCAGGCTTGTCACTACTGCGTAGTTTCTTGGTCGTCTTGACAGGCGGTGGTCCGCTACGGGTTTTTCGCTTGCTACGGGTGGTCTTTTTCGCAGACGAAGTGGCTGATGCGGTGGACGACTTGGCAGGCGACGGTGCTGAAGCTGAGACTCCGGGCTGCGAAGGCATAGCGACTACGGGACCGTGCAGAGAAACTGGAGACCGTTCCTCTAACAAATCATCCACGAGTTGGTCCAGATGCGCTAGACCTGTAGATAGGCCGTTACCTTCCAAGTGTCCTCGTAACTCGGTCCAGAACTCCCGCTTGATGGCCTTGGCGTCGTCGCCTGGCGTTCCATGTTCGTCGTAGTCGAGTGCTGCGTCGAAGAAGGCCTTGAAACGCGTGCACTCTGCTGCTGACAGACGCTTGGACATGGCGAAAGAGAGGCTGTTGTCGTCGAGAAATGCTCGCTGCTGAGATAGTTGGAAACTGACGAATAAGTTTCCCTCGAAAGGTTAGTGGCTGACGGAGGGACACGTCGGAGAAAGACGTTAGCGACTGGGTGCAAAATGGAACGACGTGAGAGATAACGATTTGGGTGACTCGTG